TATATATATCACTTTTTATTAGGATTAGATGGGTAGGGGAGTAAGATCTACAAGCCAAAAATGTTATGGAATTACTTGAATGTTGGCATTAATAGATAGTGATAGCAAGTGTATACAATAAAGACAATATACCAATTTGGAATATGAAATGATGTTTAAAATCTAGCCACTAGTGGTTTGTACTTTAGCCAAAAGTAATTCTCCCATTAAGTGCTAATGCAGATAGATCCCTAAAATACAAAGCTCAACTACTATATGACCCTTCACATCAATTTCACACAATTGAGCTCATTATTGAAACTATTATTATTATTATTAGCATAAATACAAAATGTATTTTCTATAAATAAAAGAAAAAACTAAAAGAGACTCTTTTTAAAGTAGAAAATGGGAAAAATTAAATCATTTTCCATGAAAACGAAATACTAAGAGGTTGTTGGTCAGAAATATTTATTCGTACTCAATATTTACATTAAATCAGATAAGTTAATCATAGAAGTCATAGTTTTAATTATTACACAAATTATATTACACAATTATTATTTAGAGAAAGTATTGTGTCATTGTTGTGTCTAAGCCTTTTTTTGGTTTGTTTTTACAAAAATTAATCACTCCTTCGCAAAATGAAATTTTACAAAAGCTATTGAGTTACGCGATTGGAAACACACTAATGAATTTACGAGAAACTTCTCTTAAATCGTTATAATCATATAGCCTGAAAAAGAAGAGAGATCAAGAAGAAGTATACTATAGGATAATTGCACTTTTTTTTTCTTAAAAAAATTAAGACATATATATACACACTTCATTTCAATGAATTTCCATTTACAAATCTAAAAAATAAATAAAGATAATTCTAAATTTTAAAAAAAGTGATAAAAATCAAAAAAGTAAAAGTATTACTACCAAGGTAAATTAATTATTTAGGACTCAATGGTCTTTTGGACTTTTGTCTTGAAGATTAAAATATAAAGTTTTTCCATTGAAAAATAGAGGAATCCACCTGTGGAGTGAGTAACATATGACCCAAAACTTGAGCCCACTATGCAATGCCAGGCCGGCCCATATATTTTATCAAATTCCTGTTGAAATTTGTCAAACAAAAATCTCATTAGAAGACGATTTAACTTATATATATTGATAACATGATATATTACATCAGAATTATCACTTTTTCGTAAGTTTCATACTCTAACTATTAGTTATTCTCTTCTTTTACTTGAACTATCACCATCTATCTTCTTAATGTATCGTGAGTAGATGATGATAGTTCAGGTAGAAAGAATGAACAACTAATTGTTGGCCTAATTAGCTTTGAGATATGAAGAAGGAACAACTGATAGTTACCATATGAAACTTCTGAAAAAAGTGATAGTTCAAATATGTTTTTATCTATTAACTTTATCGGTGTACTTTGTTTTGTTGCAATAAATTACCTGTCTTATTTTCCAAGTTATTAATATGAATAGTTACTTGTATTTATTTTTGAGCAATATGATAGTGTTATAAAAATTCTTATATAAAAATTAGTTGGTAATAGCACTTTTCGTCCCTCAGTCATTGATAAATTCTTATTATAGTCGTTATGATATTTGACTAAGTAAATTTAATCTTAATTAACTAAAATATAGGCTTTTAATTCCTTTGCTTTTGAATATTTATAAATTTACCATCATATTTACGGCTCCATCACTTAAGAACAACAATAATATATATTCAGTACAATCCCAAAAATAAGATTTAGAAAGAGTAGTATGTACACAGATCTTACTCCTACCTTGCACTCCATTACTTAATATTCCATCTATTATGTTAAGCATGTATTGTTACTCCATAATTGACAACTAGTTAATGATCAATATACAATTAATAATTACAAGTAGCAACTATTATGCTTTTGTTATTCACATGGGATGACTAAGTAGTGAATAATAATTGGCAATTAGCCACATGATTCGAGATACATTGTGCTATTATTAACATGTAATTTTACAATTATTATTTTTTATAATATGGTTTAGCTAGCCCTCAATCAGTTGTCTCAGATCTGATTGACAGGTTTGCAAAGATGTGTTAATTTGTCTAACAGTTACATGTGCCATAAAAAATAAGTAGATGAGTAAAGGTTATTTTATTAAAATTATCTTTTATCTTTTCCCCTCAAAATGGGCAATAACTAAAGGAAAATATTTTAGGAGATTGTATAGATAATTTCTTATAGTAAAACAAAACTATTTTTTATACCATAGATATTTGGATAAAATATTAATAAATGCAAAAAGGATATATAAAGTATATGAATAAATGGAGACAGACAGAATGAGAAACTTCTTTCAGCTATATCACATGTGGTTGAGGTTTTTTCTAGGTACATTTGATTTCATATAATTTCATATTTAGGGTATCGGAAATATATACTGATAATATAAAAAAAATTATATTATATATATTTTTTAATTGATTATAACATATTATTTACTACATGTTATAGGTTACCAAATTAGAATTACGATAGATAATTTTGTTGTTTTTGTAAGTTATATTAATTACCTAAGGGCAAAAAAAAATTATAACCTATCCGCGTATACAAGTTAAACTTTCTTAAATTGCATAAAATTTTAAAATAAGAATTCGTGTAAAAACTCACAAGGAAAATCCACTTCAGAATTGGGAGAAAATAATTGGCCAAGAAAATAATGAGGTGATATTTATAGCGGTGGAGTTACTGTTGTTCATGGGTCTCGATTAATACTTTTTTATCAAAAAATTATATCATGTAAATAGGTAAAAAAAGAAAAAACTTTTTGAGGTATATATATATATATATTGTATATTGAATTCTCTTCATTTTTTTATGTATTTATTTTCTTGACTTTTTTTTTGAAAACTCTGACTTCGAATGACTATCATACACAAAACTCAAAGGTAAAAAAGATGGGACAAGCACATACTCACTCCATCTCAAATTATTTGTCGTAGTTTCTATAAATAGTTATCTTAAATTATCTGTCATTTTACAGATTCAAGACAAAATTAATTATGTTTTTCCATTTTATCGATCCTTATTAGAGGTAATAGTTCTTGAACACTACAAAAACCTCAATAGAGTAGATATTTAATGAAGAGATCAAACTATATCTTAATACATAAATAACGATAGAATAGTCAAAGTTTTTTTCTTAAAGAGTATGTAAAAGATAAATACGTACGACAGATAATTTGAGACAGAGAGCGTGAGAGTACCTTTTTCATGTTATAGGCCATATGTTTGGAACTAAATTTCTCCAAGCTATCATAAGTAGTTCTTGCACATTTAAAAGCATGAACTTGCATAAATCCTGGCATGTCTGTGACCAATACTTTAACTTGAAGAATTACAGCCATTGATGCCACATTTAATTCAACATGTGTCAATGATTTTCTTGTTCCAATAACACAAGAAGATGATTTTCGTGATTCAATAATTGGATTTCTTGATAATTCATGAATTTCCTTATTAACAATAACTTGTCCTTCAATTGATGAAACTGATTTTCTTGTTGTTTCTCCTTTTGTTGTTGTTGTGATGACAACATTGTTATTTGTTTTTAACTCACCTTGATGATGATTTTCACGATACGTTTTCGATCTTCTAAGGGGCCATCCTTTTGATATCCCTTTCTTTAACATGGTTGATAAGTCTGGTTCTGGCTTCGGCTTTGGCTTTGAATTTCCGGTGTCTAAGTTGTACACATACATGGATCCATTGTTTTGCTTCTCTCCCACTATTCTTGTTGTCATTTTTGTTTTGAGGTGTGTTGAGTTTTGTTGAATGGTATTTTGGTGGAATGAGAGAACTCATGTATATAAATCTTGAATGTGGGGGGTTGGGGGTGGGAGTGGGGGTTTGTTGGTTAGGGTCAAAGTGAAATACATGATTTGAAGACCATTTTATTTAGATCGGTTCGGTGCACAAAGTATTACACATTAATAAGATTTAGGGAAGGGTCGTATTTTGAAGCATGTAATGTAGATAATTTATCCTATGCAAGTATTAGCGGCTACTTTTATAATTTGAACATGTAACCTATAAGTCACACGAAGATAATTTTACTGTTACTCTAAAGCTCTCTTTCAAGGATCCGTCTCTCGTTAAGTTGATTAAAACATATCAAAAAATAAAATTATTATGTTAAGATGACTTAAATGTCCTTATTATTACTCCCTCGGTATCATATTAGATAGGCCTCTTACTAAAAATATTTATTTCATATTATTTGATCACTTACTAAATCGAGATAGAATTAATTAATTTTTTCACATTTCACCCCTATAATAAATATGGCCTTTGGAAATTTAAACAAATTTTAAAGATCTAAAAAAATAAATCAAGAAGCTAATTAATATTCCCTCCGTTCCTAATTACTTGTCCATTTTTGAATTGACACACATATTAAGAAAACAATTAATGATATAGTGAGTTTACCATTTTACCCCTATTAATTATGAAGTGGATGAAAAATTCTACATTTTAAAAAGTAATTAGTCATTTAATTGAGGGTATGATAGGTAAAAAAAGTTGTCCTTTCTTGATTTGTCAAAATGGACAAGCAATTAGGGACAACTATAAAAGGAAAAGTGGACAAGTAATTAGGGACAGAAAAAATATGAAGAAAGAACAAAATAGTAAAATTAATCAATCTATTAATATTTTCTTAATTATAGTGTAAAATAAAAAATACTTACACAACAGTATGATTCTTAATTATCGTGTAAAACAAAAAGTATTCATCTCATATGGAACGAAAAAAGTAATACATTTACTAAAGATATTAAATAAATAAAAAAGGCGAATTGCCAAAATGGAATGATTGAGGGAATTAATAATTCTGTCTTGGAAAGGGTGTTTGAAGGATTACAAAATAAAAAATAAAAAATAGAGATACAAGAATAAAAAATAATATGTCAAATTAAAAATGCTTGTAAAGTTAAAATCTTTTTAAGTTTGGATGATAAATTTATGCATTTATTTCTAACTTATAAAAAAATCAAGTTTATCAAACACATAAATAAATTAGAAAATGCTTATAACCTTATCTATTCTTTCTAGAATCAGTAAATTCAAAACGAATATAATTTTATTAAATATTTAAATAAAATCATTTTCGATACATTTATATAATTACAACAAAACAAATCAAACTATTTATGAAATTCGTTCTAGATACACCTCTAATTAGAATCTGGAAAGTTAACTCATAAAAAGAACAAATATTAAGGTCAAATATGGTTTGATTAGATAGTAGGTAAAGGGTTAATCAAAAGTAGCAAACCATGTGTTATTGCCTATAATTTTGGATAATAAAATGGTGGTATTGTTTAAACAAGATTTGATGTATTTTTGACTCTATTATAAAATTAGTCTTTAGGGGCATATTTGTTTTTTCCCCCAACCACATACAGACCCCTACCTTCCCACCGCCACTCTTAAGTACTACTCATGGCCCATATAATTTTTTCGGTTCGATATCTGATATACACATTAAAATTAATTAAATTTAAATCTATGCATTATAAAATTTATTTATAAGGATGACGCTTTCAACGTGATTCTTATTATTCCACGGCTTAGATCCAAAAGTTTTGATTAAGAATAAAGAGAATCTCAATCATCTATCACAATTCATGTTAGTACTTCATTTTTGTTTTCTCTATTTATTTATTTATTTGTAAATTGATTGAATGGAAGATTGAATCTATTTCTTTATATTTTATTCTTCATCCATTAACAGTCACGGTGGAATGAATTTTAAAAAAATATACTTTTAATTAGATATTTTGAGTTTTAGCTTTGAATATATAAAAAGATTGGGTAATTTACAAAATAATAGATTTTAGAGATGGGTGATCTCAAACTTTTGACTCTACTTACTCCGTGAGCATGAATTCAAGATCAGCAAATTTGGCCTTTTACCCTTGAAGTATTGCTTATGTAGCAAGTGGGAATCAAAAGTTCAAGATCAGTCATTTTCAAGGTCATTAAATGTACGTAATTATTTTCTTGTAAAACTTGGTACAAATTAACACCTCTCTTTTTAATGGTTTTACGTAGTACGAATTTGAATTAATTGAAAATCTTACATAGTACCAAATCATCGAATGAGAACTTAAAAAATAATATCTTTTTTTTTTTCAAATTAACAAATAGGTATGTAGCTCTATATAGTTAATAACCAAATGGAGAGGACAGCATTCTATGGCAGGAATGGCAAATAGGTGGAAAAAATTCAAGCTCCATGTTGAGTTATTAGCAAACAAAAGAGGAAAACTATTAATAGAACATGTGATGTTTTTCATATCTTTTTTTTTATTGGGAATTTAAAAACTTGAATTTTATTATTAAATATTAATTTATATATACTGACCATATGAAAAAATATTTACATTTTTTATGTAGAATATCATTAGAAAAAAACTAAGATTTGTCATCTAATAAATAAGACAAGTCGCCAGTTATACTAAAAATCCTCATAATATAAAAATTCTTTACGTTGTTTATTTATTTAAATTAAATCATTTTAAGTTGAGTTTAATTTCTCTACATCAACCGCGAAAAAAAAGTTTACACTATCATAATTATATAAAAGATCTTTATCAACTTTTTTCTTTAGGTAATTTCATCTAATATTATTTATTCACTTGTCTGATTAATTCAGATTCACTCACATAAAATTCATTAAATAAGAAGCATTCTTTATTAGAATTTAAATCCATAACTAAAACCTCTAATTAAAATCGAAGAAATTCAATTCTATCTTACCACACTTTTTTGATACAATATGTTGATAGAGTGAATAAAAGCTATCAACTTCAATACATATCATTGATATCAACTTCTTTGCTCCTCATCCTCATCCTCATTCCTCAAAGCACTCAAGAAAGCAAAACAAATAAAAACAAAAACATTAAATAGTCATCAAGATGTAGAACTAACTTTATTCCCACAATTTATCATCTCTATTATTTTCTATCTCTTTCAAAGACATTTATTGAAGAATGGAGAGTTGAGAAGACAAGTGAATTTAAGATAAATTGGTTTTTTTTACATGAATTATACCCTTTGATGTTAACTCCTTTGAGAAAGACATTAATGTTGTTAGTCCTCACATGTTAGGTTAGACAAAATTCACACTGTTTGAAACTTATCCTCTCTTGTTTTTTCCTTGAATCAATTTTTTTTCACTCAAGTTAAGGACCACTTAATTCTAGTTTTATCTTTTATATATATATAGAGAGAGAGAGAGAGCTCACTTATAAGGTAAGTATATGTATCTTTCGATATATAATCATGAATGGATACCAACAAGGTTGTGGTAGAATGGTAAGTACTCCTTCATTCTTAACCAGAGGTCTTGGATTCGAATCTCGCATATTGAAGTCAACAATGAATTTTTTGGATTTAGGAAGGATATTTACGTGAGACTTAGGTGTCGGATCATACACTTTACCTAAAAATTTATTTTCAACTAGAAACAAAGGTTTTTTTTTCCACTGCTAATCAATAAAAATAGTGTTATAAAACATGATTTCTCCATCTATTTTTCACCAGATCGGCTCACTAAGAAAACACACGGTGGAAACAAATTCTTACTGAAATACTAGGAAGCTTCCTATTTTTTCTTTGTGAAAACACAACAACTTCGATACAGTCCTGAATCTGTTTCACTCGAGCGAGGATACGTCACTTACAATATTATTTTTAAAAGGGTATTTATTGCCCCTTATGGTAAATACCTTATTGCCCCTCTACACCTATATATTGATCAGGGAGATATATAGATGGTCAATGTGATTTCTAAGAAAATTCTCCATATCCATAATGATAGTGTGGAGAATGGGAAGATTAGAAGATGTACCTTCCGGTTCGGAAAAAAAGTTTTGTCCTTTATCGATACCTATTTTTGCGTTTTCCTTTCGAAAACTTGTGATATACTTCTTCTATCCCTAATTATTTGTCCGTTTTTTCCTTTTTAGTTGTCCCTAATTACTTGTCCATTTTGACAAATCAAGAAAAGACAAAAAAATTGTTTACCTATTATATCCTCAATTAATTATTTTGAAAAAGGCAGAACTCCTTAAAAATCTTAAGTTTTTAATTCATTCACTTCATAATTAATAGGGGTAAAATGATAAACTCACTATGTCAATCATTGTTTTCTTAATAGGTGTGTCAATTCAAAAGTGGACAAGTAATTAGGGACAGAGGGAGTTTAATTTTTCCTGCGAGTCCGACTCTTCAATCGAAAAAAGACGATTGTGTGCGAATCGGCTGGGAAAATACAAACTTCACACGTCTTTCTTTAATTATCTTTCTCATCTCTCAATGGCTTTGTCGAGTTGGTTGACATCATTTGCTCCTTTCCTTCTTTTCATTATCCACCTCTATTTTCTCACTAATATAATCAAAATATTTATGAAAAAAGATACTGAATATTTTTCAATGGAAAAATAGTGCTTTTTTTATAAAAAAAAAAGTAGGATTGGGCTATTCATTGCAAAGGTATTGGGAAAAGATTTTACATTAGCACATATGACATAGTATCCTCGTTGTCCATTTTTGGGCCCTTTGAACCAAGCATATTGGCCTTGTTATAGTGATACATTACCAATTGTGTTGTTATCCACAGACCAAATGGGGTTTAGGTTTAGCAAATTCTTTCAAAATTAGTGAGGGATGAAAATGATAGTCACAATTGTATGTTTGGTATGAAAATGATTGTCACAATTGTATATTGTGCTTCTTTTTTTTTTGGGATAAGGGTT